TTGAGTCAGGTGCACCTTAGTCCTCAAAGTAACTTCCGTGTTTTTCAACACTCTAAAGAAATCTTGTGCAGCAGACTGACCCAACACAATGCATTTTTGATCTCCGGATTGCTGTCTTTAAGAATATTGATTGTGGATCTTGACAACTTCAGTCTGTCTTCATTTATCATGGTGTTATACATTGGTCCAGTTGTATTTTGCTGTTCTTGACATTGAGTTGTGATCCCTACCGAAGACTGCAATCTTTGATCTTCAGCAAGTGCTTCAATTCTTCCTCACCTTCTGCAAGCAAGGCTGTAACCATCTGTGTATTACAGGTTGTTAATAATTCTTCCTTCGATCCTAATGTCACATTTTTCTTCATATAAGCCAGGTTTTCTGATTATTTGCTCAGCATATAGATTGAATAATTATGATGAGCGTATACAACTCTGAAGAACATGCCTCCTGATCTTAAACCATGCGGTATTTCCTTATTTTGTTCCCTCAGCTACCTCTTGATCCATGTACAGGTTCCACATGAGCACAATAGGTATTAGGGAATTCTTATTCTTCTCAAGCCCAACCATAGTTTATTGTGATCCACAAAGTCAAAGGCCTTGGTATAGTCAATAAAACACAAGTAGACATCTTTCTGGTAGTCTCTTCTTTCAGGCAAGAGCCAGCTGGCATAAGCAATGATAACCCTTCTTCGCTGGGTTCTAGTGAATCCAGTCTGAACTTGTGCCAGCTCCCTGTCAACGAAGTGCTACAACAGTTGTTGGATGATCTTCACCAAAATTTTACTTGCATGTCATATCAATGATATTGTTCTATAATGTGAGCATTCTGTTTGGTCACCTTTCTTTGGAATGGACACAAATAGGGATCTCTTCAAGTTTCCTGGCATAGACGAATAAGAGCTTCCAGTGCTTCCTCAGCTTGTTGAAACATTTCAATTGGTAGTCCATCAATTCCTTGTTTTGGGCTAGTGTTTTCAGTGCAGCGTAGGAGCCTTGATGTCATAGTAGTGACACATTGGGCTGTTAATGGAAAGGTTGGCAGTTCTAAACCACCAGCAGCTCTGAGGGAGAAAGACTGGGCTTTCTACTACTATAAACTGTAGTTTCAGAAACCCACAGGGGGATCTCTTTGAGTCAGCACTGACTCAGTATCCGTAAGTTTGGTTTGGTTTTGCTTTTACTATTCAGAGCTACAGTCTCAGAAACTCACCAGGGCAGTTCTACCCATTCCTATAGCGTTGTTTTGAGTCAGAATCAGCTCAAGTCAATGGGTTTCTCGGGTTCAGTTCAGCTTAGATTTCTTCCTTCAGCACCATTAGTTCTTGCTCATATGCTACCTCCTGAAATGGTGGACTATCAACTAGGTTTTTGTTTTGTTTTGTTTTTCTAGTACAGTGACTCTGCGTATTCTTCCCATCTTCCCTTGATGGGCCCTGCATCATCCCTTATTTTGCCCATAGAATCTTTCAACATTGCAACCTTTGCAATATTGCAATAGTGTCTGAATTTTTTCTTGCGTTCTTTCAGTTTAAGATATGCTGAGTGTATCTTTCCTTTGCGATTTTCTAACTCTACGTCTTTGTACATTTCATTATCATATTTTACTTTCTTTCTCAAACTACCCTTTGGATTTTCTGTTCAGCTCTTTGATTTCATCATTTTGTTCATTTGTTGTCACTACTATATGATCAAGAGCAAATTTCAAAGTCTCTTCTGACATCCATTTTTATTTTTCTTTCTTCCCTGTCTTTTTAGTGACCTTCTGCTTTCTGCATGTATGATGTTCTTGATATCTTTCTGCAGTTTATCAGGTCTCTGTTGCATCAAATCGGTTCTTAAGAAGTTCTCAAAATGCAGATGGGATGCACTCATCATATTTTGGCTCTTATGGACTTGTTTTAATTTTCTTCAGCTTTATC